GGCGCGCGCTGGCCGCTCGCCGCCGGGCCGGGCCGGGCCGCCGAGTCCTGCCGAGTAAGCAGTCTGGCTCCTCGGCGGCAGCGCAGCGGCTGCAAGACTGGGGCGCTGGCCTCGGGCCAGCCCCATCAGAATTAGCTCATTGTTCAACTAGTACACTAGCGACGGGCGAGGGAGCGGAGGGAGGAGGCGTGAGAGGGAGGAGAGAGGGAGACTGATTTAGAGAAAGACACAGGCACACTCGGAGAGAGCGCGCAAGGCAGGGAAGCCTTCCCCTCCTTCTTTTCCGAGGCTGCACTTCTTGGAAGTGGAGCCGGCTTGGGTTTTGTTTCCTTCCCCCTCCCCCCTCTTCCTCCACCCCTTTCCCCTCCCCCTTCCCCAGCTGTCTTTCTAGCATGATGCCCTTTTTCATCCACATTTGTGTTTCAGGTGTAGAGAGGAGAGAGTGAGCAGGGCGCGGGGCTTTTGTCTGTAAGTATATGCTGTTCTCATCTCCGGCCGGGAGCGCTGTTTTCTCTTTTGTGTCCATTCCTTGCCGTTGCCCTTAGCAGGACCCTTCAACCCTGCAGAGTTCATTGCTTTCTCCCTCTAAATTTTGAAGAGCTGAAGCATATTCCTTGGACAAATTCTGGCGGTTTTGGTCCTACCGCATTAAGGCTAGAATGTAACTTCAGCTTTTCTTTTTTCTTTCTTTCTTTCTTTTTTTTTTTTTTTTTTTTTTTTTTTTTTGCCTCTTTTAAGTGCACAAGAGGGAGAAATGCATTCTTTTGAGAAGGGGTGGGGTTTTGCTTGCTGTGTGGTTAATTTTGTTCTTGCTTCTAAAGCATTGTTAGGAACTGTTTCGTGTTTCTGCATTAAGGGCACTTTGGTGTATGCATGCCCCCCATGTAAAATGAATTTGTGTCTCTCCGTCACCCACTTGGTTACTCTTTCAGAGCTGCTGCGTCTGGGGGTCTCTTCGTGCTTTTGATCTTGCAACACTTTCTGCATTTTCTTATACAGCAGTTGAACTTGGGGTGGGGGAGCTTAAAAATAAACGACTGTTTTCTCCTTCGTGTTGAAAATAGCCAGATATGCATTTATATGTTTCTATGCTAACATTACAGGAAAACTCTTTGTAAGAGCTTATGCCACCCTTTTTGAGAACTTTTAGTTTTTCCATTCATCTTAATTTTTTTCATAACTTATATTAACAAAAGAGCTGTGTTTTGACGACGTAAGGGTTGAGGGAACATCACTACAGCATGCACACTAATGTTTATTTGGTTTAAAGGAAAGGGCATAATGGTATATATTCCTGACTTTTTTTCCCTGTGTAGATTTTTTTTTTAACACGGAAGGTTATGTAATGCAGTGCCATTTCCAAAAATATCCACTCTGAGGCATTACACTACACGGTGGAAGGCTGATTCCTATTCTGCCGTCTTGATTGCAAATATACTGCCAGTAGTATGTCTGGGAACAAAGAGCAGCCAGAAAACAATCTATTTTTATCACTTGTTTCTACTTTTAAGTTGCTAAACCTTTTGAACTCCTGGAAATTAAAGATGACCCACCCCCTAAGAATAGCCTTGGGCCCTACAGAGCCAGGTGGCAGGGCTTCCTTTGTCCCCTATTGAAACCTATAGACCACTTGGAAATCGCTCCGAAACTCCAGTGGGTATAATACTTTGCATGTAACTTAACCATAGAAAGTGCCTGTTTGTAACCTCTCAAGAGTCAATGTACACTGACTGACCTGTGGTGAGACAATGTGTCTGCTGTATTTAAACATATTTTGCAGGTTGATCTCCCTGGACTGAAGAGAGGGAGAGGGAAAGCCCAAGACCATTAAGATTCTCAAAATGGTAAGAAGTGGTCGTCAGAGGAAATTCTTAGTAGCTTCTTATCAGTCTCTCTTACACACAAATATCAACCACCTTCAACCGCCTGACTCTTCATTGTTTCTACCCCCTCTGACCTTTAAGAGGTTCGATCTCTAGCATGTGGGAGCTTTGCAGTACAGCGGCTGATGTGAATTGGCTGATGAATTAGATCTTTTGATTTGCCATTGTTTTGAGTAGAAAACTAAAATTCCTCTTTAGAATGAAAAATGTTTTAATTTGAACTACAAAAACTATTCTGTTCTTTAAGAGTGACATGTATGACATCCATGAAAGGGGTGACAACACAAGGGCTCAATTAAAACAATGGAGCTTCTAGAACAATAGCCAGAACTTATCTAAGACTTGTGTGTATACAGTAGTTAAACGGCTATAGTTTATGTTATTAGGTGAAATTCACATGAAGATAAGAGTTTTTGTCTTTGTGTTCCTTATGCAAATACATTGGTCTTTTCTTTCTGATTTGTAACTTGTGAGACCTTTAATTATGGAAGTCAGTCTCTAAATGTATATCTATTGCTGAGAAAGTTTATAATTCAAAGATAGGAATTAAATGTTGGATATCTAGAAACTGAAGAGATAAAGAGAATGCACATTAAAAGCATCTGAATAAGTATCTTAAATTTGTATGAAAATTTTCCTCTTTGGAAAGGTGATCTGAAAACAAAATAATGCAAATGTTATAAAACTTTTTATGTAAGTAAGTGCAGCATGTCCAACTGCAAGTGTTTATATGCTTTTTGAAACACCTCTTTGCTACTTAGAAGGTGTGATTTCTAATTTTACGTTTGAGTTTTTTCTTTATATGAGGGTGGAATTTAGTGAATCAAAATTGAATCTGATGTACTTTGTTTTCTTTGGGAACAGCCCAAGAATAGGCTTCTAAAAAGAAAAATGAATCAGAGGCAATAAATGAGTTCAAATTGACTATTATTAAAAGTAAGGTTTTTTAAAAGATTTTTTCGGGCCAGGGACATAGCTCAGCGGCACAGGCACCTGCCTGGCAAGTGCAAGGACCTGAGTTTGATTCCTGGTACCAAAAAAAAAAAATTGTGCTTCCTTATGTGTGCCTCACCTTTTATTTCAACAAGTATGTGTTAAGATTAAGTGAAGTAGGTCTTGTGTGGACCAGTTTGATAATCGTCAAGTTAAGGAACTTGGGGCAGAAAGACAAAAAGAGGTAAATGTAAAATTATACTAATTGATGGATTTTGTGCAGTTCCTAACTTTATATTAAATTTCTCATTAGCTATTACCATAGAGTAACAGGCTGGTAATAAAGTAGACTGTTGGAAAATACCTTTGTTTACTTAATTCTTTTAGTATGACTGGACACATCCCCCTGCCTCTTGGTGCTGTATCCCAGAGTACCTGTTACCTATTCTTTGTCACCATGGATAAATGACAAAGACTGTATGTTGCAATTTTTCAGGTGACCATTTGGTTAAACATAAATATGACCCCTGTCCTTTCCAAAATGAGCCCAGAGATCAAGATCAGAATAAATATCCTGTTCCTGTAGTGGTGAGTGGTATGGGCTTTGCAGAGAGTGAGCAGGTGCACCAGAGCCTGGAATGAAGGCTGGAACCATTCGGATGCAGAAGGGCACATTAATATTGCCTGTTAATTTTTTATAGTTGCCATTTATGTATGGTGACAGAATGGACAATCACAATTTGTTGCTCTTGGAAAGGTTTTTACCCATGAAAGAATTTTCACAACGTTTTGGTGATTCTTTCATCAAGATGTCAGTCCCTTTTGGCACAAGCCCATTGCCTGAAATGAAACCACTGACAGTTATTGTCTGTGGGTGATTCTAAGTAACTTTCTAACAATCCTTTTATTCTAGGAACTCTGAGCTCTTAGAAGTCCTTGCACATATTTTTTAAAACATATCTTAAAGAGGTCTTGTGTTTTATTCTTTTTGGCAAAACAAAATTAATTCTCTTCCCTTGATTAAAACTAGAATTACTCTGAAGTTCTCTATATCTGGCTAAAAGTAAGGACTTGTCCCACATACAAGGAAAACTACTACAAAGGAGGCAGATTTAACTCCTGGCAACCTCCAGGATAGATGCAAACATGACTTTTCTACTAAAGGTACATTGTCATATACATAATATAAAGGAGATTTAATTTCAGTGTGTTTAGGTTGTTTGATAAAGTGCTCATTCCGGTTATAATTTTATAATCAGCTCAGTCCAATGTAGGAAATAAACTGTTAAACTCCAGAATTCCAAACAGTGATTAAGTACTTAGACTTTTAACATATTCTAAAGTGAAGATGTTTCACACAGTTATTTGGAGACATACAGAAATCTTAGACTGCCTTATACATTGTTCCCCAAAGCAAACACAGGCATACACACTAAAAACAGCCACCTTGTGGGGCTCTGAGGCACCATCCACGTTGTATTCTATTGTATTCTAGGTTTGCCCTTTTGAGTACAACTGCAGGGGGCGCTATTCCCATGGCTTTCAGTGTACGATGGTGGCACTTAGGCTTATGCAGCCCAAAAATACTGTTAAAAGTTTTAGTTTTGAATATAGTATTCTATATCTTAGTTGACCAGAATATTCTTTTCAATATCATTCTTTAATATTTCAGTTTTCTGGTAAGAATGCCTCCTTTTTTTTTTTTTTTGAAATTAATAGAATATGCAATTTTGTAATTATTGTGATTCTGCAGAAATTGTTTGACATTTAATTTATATTTAATTTTGTTCAGTTTTACATTTGTAGAGCTATACCTTTATGGTTCTCTAGTGTTTATTTAAGCATTTTACCTTAAAGGTATTTAACTCAGGTAAGCCAGTGAAAAGAACACTGCAGAATTAGCAGGTTAAGTCTTGATTTTCAACACACTTTCCCCTATGCAGTAAATTTACCTTCCATATGTATCAGAGACTCACCAAGGCAAAAAGAGGGGCTCCTTATTAACAAAAACCTAGAAATTAGAACAAATTAAGTTTTCTTTATGTCTGATGATGTGCTTTTAACAAAGATTGAGTTGACTCCATTGTACCATTCATAGAGCTCTGCTTTCCGTGTAGTCTGAAATGACATTCATGGACTCACAAGAAGACTCTTTGAATAGTCTGTTAACATAAGGTTCCTTGTTTAAAGCAAAACAAAATCAAAGACCGGGGAAGGTTGAGGTCCCACTGGAAATCTGTGCCATTGGGTTTGGAATGTATGTTAAAAAATTGCTTTAGTGACGCTTGATTATAAAGAAGTTGAAGAGTACCTGGGAGGGTAATTTTGTATGGTACTATCTTTTCTTTCACCAGGGAGTCCAAGGCACAGGGAAGGGGAGAATTGGAAATTGTTTGCAGAAGTGGGACAGTAGAGATAGCCCATCTGGGTTTATCTTAGGCCAGCTTCCTCTTGAGCCATATAGATAATTGAAGAGAAGGCACTTGAGTAGAAGTCCCGGAATAAACAACTACTCAAAGTCATTTTAACTTAAAAGAGCCATTTTACAGCTCTTTTAAACTTAGCTACAAATCAGATCATCTTAAATATACTGAAGGAATTCACTGTATTTTAAATCCTAAGATGAATATCTCTAAAATAAAGTATGTTTTTAAAATAATTCACAAAACTAAATGAATAATCTGCAAGTATGAAATTTGTGTATTGAACTATCCCTGTATCTCGTCACCTAAAGACCTGAAGTGCACCCAGATGTGTCGGTCTGACTGCAGCGCACTGGAGGGCAGTGCTGTGGTTTCAGTGGTCCCACATATGTTCTTAGTGCAGTTCCCAGACGGAAAGGCTTGTAAGGCCATATCCTCACAGCCTAAGTGAAATAGAGCACTAAAATAATTATCTGAATAATGATACCTTAAAAAAACTTTTGATTTTTGCCTGATACATCATCTTGCTATTCAAAATGTTACTGGGAAAAAAAAGTCACTGGAGTGATTTAGGAGTGGGAAAGATTTACCTGAATTATCTCTATAATTCATGTGCTATACAAGAAAAGAGTAGAGATAAGGAAATCTTACCAGCAAATCCAACTTAAGTACACCAGGGAGAATGAATTGAATATAGTTGGCTGATCAAGATATTTTGCAAAATTCCAGTTTTGAACTCTGCTTTGAATTGAAAAACAGATTAATCATTAATCTCAGCCCACCTCTGTAGAAATTATTCCTAAAAATACCATTTACTGGATCTAAATTTACCTGAGATAGATATTTCTATGTATTTTGTACCAAGGGAAAGCTTCAAGAACATTTCCTTTCAGTGGTTTAAAACCTAGCAGTGATCTGCTAGTGTACAACAGGTGTTACCATCCCTCATAGCTTGGGTCGTTAGCATTAAATTAGCATGTCTCTTAACTAAATTCTAAATATCAATTCAGTTCTTACTAATAGCAGTGGCATGGTATTAACCTGGGTATCACTATTTGTTAGTTGGATCATGTGCATTTCTTTCATTGCCAGATAAAATTATAGGCCCCAGAGGATTTATAAACTTTGTATACAGTGGTTAGTATAAAATATTAAATGTATGATAATAAGTTCAATAAGTATGTGCATGCTAGTGTCTGTTATACTAAACTTCTCTTGTTCAGCTTTACTGTGATAACTATGAACAGTTTTGAAAACTAGAAGTAACTTACATCCTTAACTTTTTCTTCTAAAGAGCTAGAAAGCTGAAACAAATCATAGTTTACACAAGAAATTATTTTCTATATTTATTAAAAGGTTAAAAATACCTTGTATTTAAGATGTAAAGTACAGCACTAGCTGAAAGAGAGGCTCGAGGCTGCTCAGCGTCACCAGCTTTCAGAGCTCCTCTGAGTGGTAGGGTGGTATGCTGGTCTCTGGGTTTGATCCAGCTGTGGTATTCAGAGCTCACAGCAGCTTATCCTACAGCCATAAAAATCTCCTCGTGAATCCAGGAGGAGATTTGTTCCCAGTATTGGAAGTTTAACTCTTACATTTATTTCCAGT